TATAGTATATTAGCGGTGTGAATAAATAACCTTGTTTACACACCGCATCGATTTACAAGTACCTACCAAAAAGGTCATAAAAGAAAGAAAGAATACAAACGTACATACATAGCGTCCTAAGAGCCTAGGTTAAGGTACTCCGAAAAAGCTGTTAAATCCCCACTAGAAAGTCGCATCCCCGGTTGCCCTGTGAAGCTGCTGAGCTGCTGCAATCCCACCGCCAAGGTACCCGTAAAGCCCTGCATAACACCGCTAATTACAACACCAGAGCACCCACCTCCTAGCAACCCGTGCAGCCGGCCCGCATCCACTTGTTTAACTCGATCGGGCCATATTCATTCCTACTTTGCCTACGGCGCAACTCGCAACTCACCACTTTGACAAAAAAAGCCACAACCGCCTCACCTTCCTAGTAACCACCCCCCCCAACCCTACCCACATTCTTGTTGCCAATCCGACTGGTCCTTGCAGTCTATCGGGGCTCGTGCTTCTGGTCCCGCCCGTTAGCAACGTCTTAGCATCGCAGCATCGCAGCATCATCAGCTTAGACATCCAGCTATCTCCTCGTACCCAGCCGCCTAAATTTTAGCGTGTCGGTACGCGGTATTAGGTACGTACTGTTTTGTTTCGCTCAATCAGGTGGGGTCTTGTCTCCAAGAATTCAATTCCAGCCAAACTACCCTACATGTACCTAACCTTAGGTACCCAGCTGCTCCTGTTTCCCCCTCCCTGGCTGCACTAGCCACTTTTGCATAGCACAGCACAACGCAGCGCTGCAAAGAAGAGCAGAACTTCCCGCACAGCGCATCCAATTTTCCCTCCCTCATTTTGACCCGGCATTGTCCCTCCTCGCTCCCTCGTCCCTTTCCCCCCCTCCTTCTTCTAAAATTCCCAAACTTCAACATTTTCCTCCCGTCTAATCTCTATCAACCCCTCGAACCCCTCTTTCACTCATAACGGTCGCAACCCGCGCATCGTTAGCTTTTTTCCTGCGTCGTCTTATATTTGACGACTGCATCATCTCGAACACGTCTGTGCTTCGAGATTAATTTCCCCCGGCATAGGCCGTACCACCTTATTACAAAGCCCATTCCATGCTCCTTATACCGATACAAATGACCAACTATCATCAGTCCAGTCAAGAAGACACACTTTAAATCCCACGGGAGCGCGCGTGCGAGCGAGGAGAGCTAGGCGATTTCAACGATCGGCCTGTGAAGGTTCAAGAACATCAATTTTCGGAGCGTCGACCGCAATTATTGTTTAAAGCGAGAGAAGCCTATTGACTTTGGAATCCTTTTTTTATACCAACCACCCATTGTCAACCAACGCGACAAACATTATTCAAGATGCCGGGCGCAAGCGTGGCAGTCCTCCCCACATCCGCCTCGTCGACTCCGGTCCCCCGAAAGACCTCACTCGCGCAACCAGAGAGGAAGTATAAGTGCCAGTTCTGTAACAGGGCATTTAGCAGAAGCGAACATCGTAGCAGACACGAGCGATCACGTACGTACCGCGAAATTATCCTTTCCCTCCAATCTCTTTCAAGCCCCCAAACCCCTCCCTTCGACGCCGTCCCTTGCCCCCCATTGAAAATTGCTACCCCTCAACACCTCATTCAATTCAATTTAATGTAGTCAATTGCATTACCCCGAGTTCTCCAAAGCTGACTTGAAATGGAATAGATACAAAGGAGCGCCCTTTCAAATGTATGAAGTGTAGAAGTACCTTCGTACGACGCGACCTCCTTCTTCGTCACGACCGAACCGTCCATGCTAAAGATGGAGGTGTACCTCTTCACAGCGACGGAAAACGCCGCTCCGGCGCCGGCGTCTCTAAGGCTCGATCTGTCGGCGGCCCCTCCAAATCTTCCATTGCTATCGATACTTCGACCTTGAGCGAACAGATTGAGGCTAGCAGTGAAGGTGCTTTCGACGTTGAACACGCTGCTATGCTAGTAGCCGATCTCCACCACAAGGCCATGATGCGCGACAATGGAAGCCCGTACGAATCTGGCCCTTCAATGGCGTACACTCCGAACAACGCTCCGATAATGGACCCCGCTGTTACTTATCCTGCCAGCTCTGTTCCTCTACCTCATAGCGTACCCTGGGATTCGTTTGCTCCCCAGTCAACAATGGATGCCAAAGCCCAGTCTGTCGCATCGAACACATCAGGTTCATTCGAATCGCAACAACCATTTGCCAATGTGAGTGCCATCGAGGTCCAACCTAACTTGTCGCCATTGTCCCCCGGTCCCAGCTACAACAGCTACATGTCTGCGTCACAGTCCATAGCAAACTCACCGCTTCTAAGCACCGGCCCAGCGGCCTTCAACATACCAATTTCAAACGAGCCCCTTCTTGTGAACACATGCACTAACCCACCCCAGACCTCGGGTGGATTCAACGTTCCTCGAGTGAACAGCGACGAAGAGCGAAATATAATTTTAGATAATATCCGAGCGAACGATATCGAACACGCAATTCCCGAAGGTTTCCGTGTTCCAAACCTATCTTGTTTGAATCGTTATCTATCAACTTATTTCACCCTCTTCCACCACCACCTACCGTTCTTGCATCCTGCGTCGTTCGATGTCACTCAGGTGTCTCCTGCCTTGCTGCTTGCAGTATTATCAATCGGAGCGCTCTACGCTTTCGACCAAGACCAGGCTTATATGTGCCATATTGGTTCCAAGGTTCTCGTCAACCAATTCTTGCAGAATAAGGAGAACTTCAGCTCTCGGAAATGCCCTCTATGGACGATGCAGGGCTCGCTTCTTAATATGATCTTCGCTAGCTGGAGCGGAGACCCCAAGGGGTTAGAATGGGCATGTTCTATCAAGAGTCTTCTTGCCAATATGGTTGCTGGTAATCGCTATGAATTGAAGCTTCGGCAAGATGGTCGTGAGGGTGCGCAGCCAAAACGTGACGAGTGGATCGAGGATGAAGGTTGTCGGCGCACGTACTATGCTGTCTACATCTTTTTCGGGTTGCTCACTCTAACTTACAATCACACACCTGCCATTAGTTTCAACGAGTTTGAGGATCTCCAACTTCCTTCCCAGGAGGCGCTTTGGAATTCTAAAGTCACTGACGAAGCTGCTTGGCAAGAACAGTTAAAAGCATCGCCTGCAGTTACATTTATGGTTGCTCACGAAAACCTCTTCCAGGGTGTGATGTTAAAATATAGCGCCTTCGCAACGCGTGTTATGATCAACGCATTGTTCCTCGAAGTTTGGTATCATAAGCGTAGCCCTGAGGCCCTCCAAGACGTGGTGACTGAGTACAAGCTCCGAATGGCTCTAGAGACGTGGGAGAAATCTCTAGATCTCTGCGAACCCGAGGCTGATACGGTCCCGCTCAGCGCGCCTCACAAGGGGCATCCCCTAATCTTCAATGCCAAGGCAATGTATCGCAACGCTCGTGCTCGCCTAGAAGTCGACTTGAAGACAGTTCAAGAAGCGCTCCGATACCATGATCACTACGAAGTAGCCGCCGCCATGTCAAACGCACGCGACAGAGTAAAGCGCTCCAGTGAAATGATCAAGGTAATTGACGAGTGCTACAATTGCATTGAGACTGCTGTCCGCCAAGGCGTGCGCTGGGTTGCGCGTACCTCTCCGACCAACTGGAGCATCGAACACCCTCTGTGTGGCATGGATCTCATGATTACCCTCACGCTGTGGCTATACCGTCTGGAACATGACGAAGAAGCCGCCTCCGAGGAAGAGATGGCCATGTACCTGAAGGTTAGGAGTCTCTTCGATAAGGATGCGGAGGGTGCTATGAACTCGCAACAGCTGAGTTCGACTGTGGCTCACCTCTGGGGCTCCATGCTCGATGAAGTAGTCGTTTGGGGGTAAGTTACATATACGAATCTCTACTTTTTGATACGAGGCTAACTTTTGTTCTATAGCATTACCCGGCTCATGGGCGAAGCCTTCCGACTTCACTCTCAAGCACTCGTTGGCTACGTAGATGATGTCGAAGCATCGTCTAACGTCTCGACGCCCTCTATGATCTCACAAGGGGGCGACGAGGAGAGTGTGTATTAGAAATTATTACGAGACCCACGATTTTATTTATGGTTTTATCTACTAATTAGGGACGGTGTGGGAGTAGTGTACGCGGCATATACCTCCTACGTTCGTCTTTTTGTTACTGTCTTGTTTCTCAACTTGAAGGTCTGGACAGGCGCGAGGGTGTTGTGTTTCTCATAGTGTTTGCATCCGACATCTGCATCTTACGTCACTGGTCTAAGGGGGGGCCCGGAATTGGGAAGGCTCTCGCGATATGACCTAGCGGAAAAGGGGAGGGGAAACCTCAGCGCGACGCGCGCAATATAATGTGTGATGCAGTTGGCTGGCTGGACCATTTGCGATATCTTCCTTTCCCCTCTGTTCTATTAGCTACGGCACTCTTATTTTTATTTTAATGCTGCTGCTAGTTTTTTCGAAGCTTTTACTCTTTTTTTTTATGCGCCTGTCGTCGTCAGATACCTTGTTCTACATACTGGCTGTCGTTTTCTATCCGATGCTCTCCTTGCGCAATCTTCTGTTTTTTAGTTTCGTTTTTTTCTTCGTCCTTCTCCTTTTATTTTCACGTTTGTTTCTCATTTTCAACTTTCCTAATTTGAGTCATGTTAATAGAGTTGGCAAACCGAGTATCTCAGGATGGAAACTTGAGCCTGGTAAATCGGAAAGCACAGGCGAGTACACAGATTGAATTAATCACCTTTTTCGGGTTCGATTGGAAGTGGTTCTCGTCGAGTTATAGATAACTACACACGCGTCAGATATTCAATATATCACTTCTCTCTGCACACGTTCGGATATTTAGATGTTACACCATGTTATTACCGATCGTCGTATTATTATTGTTATGGTTATCAGTAAAAAGGGGAAGTGTATCACATCGTAGTATCTACCAAGACAAGCAATCGACCGATCTGTAAGCTCTAAGTGGACGCCACGGCGCCCTTTTTCTATCTGTGCGCTGCAGGCACCCGAACTCTCGTTGGTTCCTCCCGCCTGTTCTTACAACCTCGTGATACTCGGAAAGTGAAATTTCATATGCACATGAAGCCCCCTTATTGTGCTACATGACATTAAAATATCACCGAAGGGAGACCCTTGCTTCGAGTACAAGGGTACGAGTTAATCTATCCTTCACTACCTAACATATGCACATGTAGGTAGAGAGATGCTCTTACCCAAGTACCTCTATGATTTTGCTTATCGTCACTGCCAGCAATGGCGGGATATTTTCACCTTCAGAAGGCGTGAAATCGTGAAATCGTGAAGGCGTATCCACGGATGGATGTCACTCATTTGCTTTTCCTTAGCTTATTGCCTCACATGAAGCCAAAAAGTATCAATCAACTACTACATACGTTCAGTTTTCCCTCGTGTGCTTTCGCTCCCTCCGGATCGCTCCTTTACTCGAGTTTTTGCATGCGAGATTGCTTCGTCTTCACGATACCGCCCCGACACCCTAATCTGTCGGCGGCTCAGCAAAGTATTCACCTTTAATCCTAAGCGCGTGCGCGAATAATTTGCTGCATAATGGCTATGGCTTCTTTTCGTATACTAGCCTCGTCGTTGCTCTTTTTCAACCTCGTGCTGGCGGACTGCGAATGCGGATATTCGATAATAACGCCTTCCGACGACAAACGATACGTTTTCACCGATATATTGGAGAGCGACTTCGTCCATCTAGATATTACGGATAAGGCTCAGGGTTATGGGGAATACGGTTGGACGCCGCAAGAGTTTGATATGTCGAGCGAAGTCGCGAGAGGGCCTTACGGTCAAGCGTTTACTACGCAAAATGTGATATCAAATAATATCGCCGACGAACAAATATTCGGTGGGCCTGGAGTTAAGGGCGGTGATGCCGGTCTGAAGCTTGTGGTTGGAAGCGAAATCAAAAACGGGATGGTTCCCTGCGCCGACGTGTCCACGACGGATGTTCATTATTTCCACGGAACTTTCAGGGCGGGTATCAAAGTTACCGATGTTCCAGGAACCTGTAGTGCTTTCTTCTGGGTGAGTGGTAATGTGGTAATCCTAACGGACGAGTCATTTGTCCACGACTATCCCCATTCCCCACGTCCCAGTCCTAAAGACTCACTAATCTTATTTATATCTTATATCAGTATATGAACGATACTCAAGAAATCGACATAGAATTCTTATCAGCCGAGTTCAACAAGAGCAATAACACGTTCCCAGTTAACCTCGTCCTACAATCTCAGGAGTCGAAAGACCACGGGTTCGACGCTTCTAAAACGGGAGACTTCAAGACAATTCACCTACCGTTCGACCCCACCACGGATTTTCACGAGTATAGAATCGACTTTTTGCCGGACAGGGTGCTTTTCTACGCGGATGCTCAACTTCTCACGGAGATGAAGGGTGCTGGTGTGCCGTCCACTCCCGGAAACCTACAAGTGTCGCACTGGAGCAACGGGAATGTAGGGTGGTCGCAGGGACCGCCCAAGGCAGATGCTACAACTACAGTCAGCTACGTGAAGGCGTACTTCAACTCGTCCTTGAAGTCGAGGCAGGACGATTATACGATGCGGTGTAAAGACCCGTCGGCCCCGAGGGCAGTCTGCGCAATCCCGGATAGAAACGCGACATACTTCTTTGGTAATGTCGCCAACATGACACCTAACCAAACGACTTACCACGAGAACAACGGAAGGCGGGCGAGGCGGTGGCGACCTCTCCCATTTGCTGCGGCTATTGCAACTAGCACTTGGGTGGTTGGTCTATAAAGTATAAAGGAGTTTCTGTCTAGAATATTCTTAGAAGGATGTGATAGGGATGATACAATAAGGGCGACGACTCGGATAAGCATATTCTAGCATTTTGATTATGGCGCGGGTTGTTGAGCTAGCACTTTTTAGTTTTTAGTTGTATGATACCTTTTCAAGTCGGCGCCGGGACGATTCTTTTTAAAGCCGTCTGTTGCCGGGGGCTCTCGGTTGCCTATATGTATATCTTCTTGCAAGGCTAATTGAGATGAGACATTTATAAGTGTTGCACAGTTCATATGTACCTAGGTTAGGTAGTTGTTATATTATGTATTAAAATTAGCTTGAGTTATTTACACCTGGGTAATATTTTAAGAGAAGAGAGGTTTAAGAAGTAGCTAAAAGGGTTCGTTGCTAGTTACTACTATTTATCTTGGTGGACTTTCATATAAAATTTCATCATGTGCCAAAAGTGTAACGTTACTAACCAATGCTATATATTCACAAGCCAGAAACTCCATAACTAAATTTTTAAAATAAGAGGAAATGATGTGTCTCACTTGCTCCCCTTACATATATGTAAGAGTATCTCGTGACGCGCGTTGGATGTGTGCAACCGGCGGACGGGAGGAACCTAACTCGACGATCTCGCCCGGGTGACACAACCAACTTTAGCTCAACCCCAGCTTTTGCAGGTGTTCCCCCCCTCTTCCGCTAGGTTAGTTGTTGACGGCGGTCGCACGAGCCATCTGGGCTGGGGGGAATGCGGAGATGCTTGTATTGTAATGTATTATGTAGAAGTGGAATGAACTGGAGTTCGTTTTTTATTAGCGTCTTGACTTACATTAACCTAGCAAGTTTAGCATATGGGGAAGAATAGGTACATACCTAGGTTAGGTACCTGTAGGTATGTATAGAAGGAGAGAGGTACAACGCTACCTACATAGGTTAGCTGATGCTTAAAGCTTAAGTTGAACTCTATTATATATCGAGCGGTCCAGTCACATTGTGCGGTAACACTCTCCACCTGCCTGATTGGGGTGGCCCCCCCTTTTTCACACCCCCTTTTCTGGACAAACAACATGTGGTCATGCTTGGAGGCGTTTGGGGGCTTCGAATAGGGACTAGGTTAGTGGTTTCGCAAAGCTCGGAGGCTTGATCGATCGGATGGGGGATCGTGGAGAAGGGTAAACGTGTTTTCGGCTTTTTTCGAATTGGGCCGATCCAATTATATGCGAAGGACTTTAAGACTGGGAGGTATTTGAGGCTAATAAAACTTGTGATAATTGGTTATATACCTAGGTAGGTAGGGATCTGTTATATATTAGAATATGCAGATACGAGGTAGTATTGATATTTATAATATACGCTTCTTACTTATACCGTCTGTCACCCTTGAATATATATATACCTATATATATAATATAGATTTGCCATGATTTGCCATTACGTAGTTAAACACCCACACCTTTCCTATGCTGTTCCACATCAGCATATTGTACGTATATTGGTCATGACCTTAAGCACCTATAACAGACCCTCCGCATTTCTCTTACGTATAAAGACGCCGACGCCCGCCTACGGCCCGACCACCTTCCACCATGACGGACACCTGTCTTCTGCCGCCGGCCTTCTCCTTTGGCTGTAACCTCCGAGACACCAACGCGCGTGTTCACACAGCTATAATTGGTAAAGGCCTTTATTGGCTCCGTAGGATGAAACAATCTCATCTAGCCTCGCAATTTAGTAGATCTACCCTACAACACATAAGTCGATGACATACCCTAAACCATTAGGGATTTTCATCGTGGATGAGACGTCATACCTCATGTTCCACAGTCTCCTTTGTTTTTTCTTCCTGGATCCTGTTTTCTGTATCTCTCTACCATGTTAGATCCGTTGTTGTTGCTTTTCCCCTCGTCAGCCGGTCGTGGCTGGATAGTTGGATACCACACATGCTAGCATGAAAACCTATCGATTTCAACCCTCTCATGTCTTCTTCTTTGCCATGTGCTATGACATACTGCGGATGAGTGGCTTGAAGAGGCTGTGCCAGTACTACGACCCTATTTGAGATGTCCTTAACCATGGTTCGAGATACATATCACATGAAGTTCGTCACATCGACGACACATGATGCCACTTCTCCTTAGAGCTCGGTTAGATTTTCAAGGAATAGCCTAAGCAAAGCCTTTTCCCTATGCTCGGCGCATATACGACCTATCATGGAATTGCTTTTCCAGGTCCTGGTTGACAGGACTGGATATCAAATGATCGTAGGCCCAGCTCACAAGCCCGACCTAAGGGAACATCAACTGAACGGCTGGATTTTATCTTACGTATGCGGTATTCGCTCCCGTATGCTCTGTTGGCTTTCATCTCTTCTTGTCGTCCTACGTCTCTACTTCTTGACGGTCACAAGTTGCCCCCTTAAACAAGGAATCTCGAGCACATGCTCGCAAACTCTACCCCTAGACTTAGAAATCTCTTGGAACCCCTATACTTCTAACCGTATATCTAAAGCTCATCTCGCATTTCAACCCAAAGGAAGTCTACACATCCTCAGAGCTTTAAATGTAATCCTACGCACCTATCGGCTGAAGTTAGCTCGGCTTCGACTTACTTACCTTTATATCTATACGTGTTCTAGTAGACTAGGAAATCCGGCAAGATGACGAATCCCACAACCGCGATAGCTATCAAGAATAACACGGGCTCGTCCCAGGCGTACGCCTATATCACCGGCCTAGACCTGAACAATAACAACGCCCCGCTGTTCATCCAAGCCGACGGCACAACCGTGTACCGGCCGTCATCCCCGTCCGCACCCCAGTCAGCCCTCGAAGCCGATGTCTCTATCCCGCTCGGCGAGCCCGGCGCCTCGACATCCGTCACGATACCCCAAATCGCCGGCGGTCGCATCTGGTTCAGCACAGGTTCCAAACTGACGTTCCTACTGAACCCAGGCCCCGCCGTCGTCGAGCCTAGCGTGACCAACTCCGCGGACCCCAACTACAACATCGCATGGGGCTTCTGCGAGTTCACGTACAACTCGGCGCAGCTGTTCGTTAACATCAGCTACGTGGACTTCGTAGGCCCGCTGCCCATCGCCCTCGAGCTGCGCAACACCGCCGGCGACGTCCAGACCGTCCAGGGCCTGCCTGCGGGCGGTCTGGACACTGTTGCCGACAAGCTGACGCAGCAGAACGCGGCAGACGGCGCCGGCTGGGATAAGTTGATCGTGAAGGGGCCCGACGGCAAGACGCTGCGCGCGCTGAGCCCGAATAGCGGCCGCGTGGCGGACGCGAACCTGTTCCAGGGGTACTACGACGACTACGTCAACCAAGTCTGGAGCAAGTACGCATCTACCGACCTGACGATCAACACGCAGGCTTCGTGGGGGACCGTCACGGGGCGAGTGCAAGGCGACCTGCTGACGTTCGCGGACGTGGGCACTTTTGCGAAGCCCAGCGCCGGCGATATATTCAGCTGCTCGACGGGGCCGTTCGGCAGCTACCCCGAGGCGACGAGCGACGAGATGGGGGCGCTGGGCGCGAGGATCGCCGCGGCGCTGAACCGCTCTACGCTGCTGGACGATGCGCAGCAGCCGGATGGAGAGAAGATTGATAATTATTATAAGACTAGCCCGACGAACCATTATGCGCGTATCGTACGTCTGGTGGATTTCCTTTTTCTGTTTAACTTGACTTGATATCCCTCCCCTCCCCTTCCCCCTTTTCCATACAATCCCACAAAAAAGCCAAGTCAATTCAATCAATCATACATTAGGTACCTAGTTAATTCATGTTCACTAACACCCCCTTCCCCTCCCCAGACCCACGAAGTCAACCTCGACGGCCGCGGCTACGCCTTCCCCTACGACGACGTGGTGCCCTCGGGCGCCGCGGGCCCAGACCAGGCAGGCACCGTCTTCGACGCCAACCCGGAGCTGCTAACGGTGACGGTCGGCGGGCCGGCCTCGGGCTCCAACGGCCCGTCGAACGGAGGGGGCAAGAAGAAGGAGAAGGACGGCGGGGATAAGACTAAGACCCCGACGACCCCGACTACGCCTGCTTGGCTGAGTAAACTGAAGAGTTGGCTTAGCGCGCTGAAGAAGGCGCTGCATATCAAGTAGGAGAGGAGAGGAGAGGAGAGTCCGATTGTTCTGCATTATATTATACCCAACTATTGGCTTTGGCTTCGCACACTCGCTGAGAATATATTTTTTTTCGGCTTCTCGGGCTCGCCCCGGCGTTGGGAGGGGAAGGCATTTGTTTGTCTGCATGAGAATTTGAATTTGAATTTGAATCCAGGTTCTAGGATCGCTCGTTTTCTTCCCTTCGTCTTTCGTTTACCCCATGGGCTTAGTATTTCTTGCATATTACCATTCTGAGGCTGCATTGCTTTTTGGTCCCCTTATACCCAGCTATATTACCTGCTTTCTTGACTGCCCTAGTTTAGATACGGGCAAAGGGGGGGCTATCTAGTTGGTGTTGTTAGTTTGTTTTTCTTCGAGGCTGGGGTCGAGTGATCCTTAATTGTTGCCGTTTGCTGTATATAGTTCCCTCTTCGTCATTGGCCGCTGTGTATATAGTCTACCTAACTCTTAGAGTTAATTTGTCATATGTATATTGTAGCTAAGTTTATATTGTAGCTAAGTTCTAATCTACGTGATGTAGGCTCGCTGTTCTTTTATAATGTTGTACATCATAAACCAGGCAAACTTTCGGTGCTTCTATGTAAGATGGGAGCGATAGAATAGAATTCGTATTAAGGTAGCCGGTTCATATTCCCTAAGATCTTGTAGACTTACCCCAGAATTTGGGGACTAGGGAACTGTCATGCAGTGAATCTGACTGTTGGTATAGGGTTTGGTCTGTTCGAATCGATATCGGCGTCTCTAATTTCCGTTGTAGGAATATTTATATAAGCGTCTCGATATGGCCATAAGTTGCCTATTTTTTTTTCTTGGGGAGACAAACAGCTATTACATTACTTTGTTTGACTTGGCCTAACGCGAGATCAAGATGATAGGGAGAGAGCAAATATTTAATTACAGTGAATTTCGACTCTGATGTTTGATTATATTTCATTCTCAAGACGGGAATTAGTCGCTAAGACACTATAAACAAACTAGAGTAAATATGATTACATCAAATAAACGAGGAAGACAGCTTCTTCTCTTTAAGGGGGGATAATAGGCCATACGGAGTAACAGTGAAAATATTTCATATTAAATCATAACTACCTAGATAGTACTAACAATACAGACGCCGCAAAGCGAAAGACGCCCGAGCTAGACGGCGACTCCATGCCCATATAACCGCGGTAGTCAAACAAGGCGAGCATCACGGCTCTCGGAAATCGTGCATCATCATTATCGTAAGCACCCGTAGTCGATCGCTACGACCGGCGAAATCAGTGTCGGTGCAACTTATCCTTGATTTTCTGCCCCATGCTCTTCTTGTCCTTATCATTCTTGTCGCTGTGCTCCGGCGCAGGATTTTCGCCTTTCGGGCCTGTGGGGTGGATTCCCTTCTCCTCTAGCAGACCTAATTTCTTGTCAATTATTACAGCTGCTATACCGTTTAGCGTAGTAAACTTACGATCAGCTTCCCTACCGGCCCCCGGGTTCGAAGCGTCAAAGTCCCCGCCGTCGGCCTTGAGGCCGCTGCTCTTAACGTACTTCTCGCCGGTGCCATCGCCGGTACTCTTCGCGTTCGGGCCGTCTTTGTCTTCGTCTTCGCCGCTAGTCCCGCTGCTCTTGCCCTCGCTTTCATCGCCGGGAAGCGGTTTGCTCTTGTCCTTTTGTATTTTACCCGCGTCGCCGCCGTGATCGCGCGCTACTTCGTCGAGAGGTTTAGGCCCGGGGCCGTCTAGCTTCTGGGCCTCGTTCGGGCCGCCCTCGTTGTCGTTGACGTCAGTAGGCGCGGACTTGGGGTGTGTATTCGGGTCCTCTGGGTTGCGCGTGTCGTTCTGGGCCTTGGTTGTGTCGTCGGGTGCGGTCTTCGACTTGAGCTCTGTCGACGGGTTGTCTGGCGTATCCTTGGCCTCTGCTGCAGTGCCTGTCTCCTTAGAGAACTCGGCATCTTTAGTGTGTACTGTTGATCTGTTGGCCTCGCCATTGGTTCCTGTCTTGGCGGCTTGGACTTCAGGATCCTCTGTTTTAAAAGTCCATGTTAGTTTCTAATTTGTATGATGATATATTTGCGGAGGAATATTACCAATGTTGCCAGCATCGTATGGTTCACCTTTGGAAGTGTCGCCAGCCTGCCCCGAGATAGGTTCCGAGCCGTTTTGCTTATTCTCGCCCCAGACAGCCTTAGCAGCGGCAGAAGCCACGTTGCTTACGGTCTCCATGGTGAATTAGATCTTAAGAGTAATATGCTAGATTAGGTGTATAGGTAGGTTAGGTATCTAAGGTTAGGGTAAGGGTTAGGGGTTTGAAGCTTATTTAGATGTTTAGGTCGTAAAGGGTCGTGTAAATCTGGAGAATTAAGAATGGCCAAGACCAAATAAGTGGTAGGGTAGGTTTTGTAGGTATTATATGGATATATTTGCTACATAAGACTGCAACTGGGTAGGTTAGAGTAGAGGGGGGGCCTTGTCTCTGACGTCTTTTATGATGGAATACGACCGCTTCCTTGTAAGGGAAGAATGACCGCTTATGACGGCAAGGAGAAGACACAAAGAGGTTCCTTGTAAGCCCCATATTCCTTCCTTTCGGCATACGAGGATATGTGGCTTGACTACGTGAATTCGAATCTGGGATTGAAGCTTTGGATTGGTTGCCACTGACCTAACTACCTAGGTATACTCACCTATAAACTGACTTATACGTAAGAGCTATGTGCCACAGCCAAGTTAATATCAAGATATCAGGATATCAAGGAGTCTCTAGCCAATGAAGGTTACTTCTGCGTACGTATGAATGGTCGAGACATGAATAATGCTGCGTATTTGGAACAAGCTTAAGCGGGGGGAGGATGGGAAGAATAGATGAGCGATGACGTTGGTGGGGTTAAAGAGATATTGACGTCATTGTATTTCTAGTTCGGAACCGTTTTGAGCTTACATACATACATGTACATATGAGCTGCAGCAAGAAGCAAGTACCTTTCAGCTATTTCCACACTCGCTTGAACTTTAAACATTTAGTTCGAATGCATACAATAAGTCGATATGCCACTTAAATGACGAAAAATCACCCCAGGAATAATGAATGCCGTTACCAACCGGCTGGAAATTTCAAGATTATCCCCACTGCCTCTGGTATCTAGTAGTGTAATGTTTCTACTATTATTCTTAGAAACGTGTCGTAAGACAAGGCTCAAAAAGCTAATAGTTAATTTTTAATGAATGATATAAAAGGCTAAACATATCTAGTCATTTAGACTTATTAATATGTCTACAATGCGAATTGCTTTGCAAAGGGGGAGGGTGTGTTTTCCATAGAGGTAAGCTTGATTACATAGACCACGTGTGGCCGAAGCTTTTTATACTCTCCGGCCTAGGAGCTAAGATAACCAGATAACAGAAGGAATCAGGACCCCAATATTGCGCATGTGCATAAGGCATTGGCTCAACGCTTCCTATTGGCTTAGTCTTGTGACTTCACCTTGTGATCCACAACATAATGCAAACAACGCATACAACGCAGTTGACGTGACCTCCTTTTTCCTATCTCCTAAATGGCTGCCTAGATCTACTGAATGTTGAGATTCATATATTTAGATTCATATGTTTTACCTCAAGTTCTAGAACTTATACTACTCGCACTATGCATCTTGACATTCGGCCTCATTGAGGCCTAGCTTCGCTATGCGCCTGGCTGCTGTACTCCATCTTGTTGTCTCCTCCAGGGTTGTTTCTGGTCGCGCGTTTCAGCAGCGTCGACCAATCGCTCCGGAGGGTCAATATGTTATCGGGAACGGCGTGTCAGGCCATCATCGACGACCGCCACTCCCTATCCCCTCGGGCTCATCCGAGGACATTGGCTCAGTAACCGGCTTTATTGCTTTGGGTGATTCCTACAGTGCTGGAATTGGCACCGGTGTAGATGGCAAGGAGGATGACTGTCGACATGGTTTAGGTGCTCATAGTGTTTTAATTGCTTCCGATTTGTTGGCCGACGAAGACGGACGGAATTCTACGACGTTCCAATTTTTATCTTGTACAGGAGCCACGACCCAAGAGATTCTGTCCAGTCGTGACGGCAGTCATGATAGCCAGATAGACGCTTTCAACGCTTCACTACCAGTAGACTTTGCACTGTTGTCAATCGGCGGGAACGATCTGGGCTTCTTTGACGTAATGAATGCGTGTGTGTTTCGCTTCTACAACTTCTACTCTGGTACCTGCGAGACGGCGCTTAAGAACACACGGGACCAGATCGAGAGCGATGAATTCGAGCACCGTCTGGAGATAATCATCATGGAAATCCTCGATAAAGTCCGTTGGGAGAAGAAGCCCTCGTTCACAATTACGGTTACGGGATACGCCCGGTTCTTTAACGATGTCACCGACGACTGCGACGAGATGAGCTTTGGTGTCTGGTGGCGCGGGCCGAAGCTGAAAAAGGACTTGAGGATTCAGATGAATACGATGGTACTCACAGTCAACGCCAAGATCCGTAAGACCATCAACACGATAAACTCGCGGTTTACCAAAGATAAGGTCATATTTATTGATTATGACAAGGGGTTTGATGGTCATCGGTTCTGCGAGGAGGGTGTGAAAGAGCCTGATTACGACCGTAGAGATACGTGGTTTTTCCTCGTAGGCGGCCCGGATAACGCCAGAAACGGAACCCGATCAAATCATGTATCTGACCTTCAGACTTTGCCCCCAACATCGGCTCTGGTTGACCCATTATCGTGTCTTGATCCAGCGCAAGCATCTGGGGATTGGGGCCGATTGGCTTTGTGTTATATGGCTATGGCAAAGCATCAAGACCCGAGCTTGCAGCTTGCCCGCGGAGACTTCGTTGCCGAGAACTCAATGTGGTACGTCCCAACATATTACGGCAAGACGTTCCATCCTAGGTCTCTTGGCCACGAGGCCATCAGAAATAAAATTTATGAGGTATGGCAAACACTAGAATAGTTGGCTAGTTTGGCATATTGCTTGCAATATTGGTATGTACAGTACCGAGTTCTCATTCTGATGACCACGTACGTACTTTCTATGCTACGCCTCGTAGAATAGAGCCTCCTTAGGGATGACCACGCCCCTTCGTGGTTGCTTTCAGAATGTCACCGTCCGAGTTACTGGCTCGCCTGATTTTACATCTGCAGTCGGGCACTCCGAACTGGTAGCCGCTTCCCCGTCATTTCTTGAAGAGCTCGTCTTATTATCATATACTCCATGTAGTCTGATCTTCATTTATAATATATTGTGACCGAAAAGGTCTGCTAGGTTGAGTATAGTATTTGCGGGGAGGAGCGTAATAACCAATTACGTGTGCCGGTCCAGCTAATAGGCATAATTTGTTTTAAGGGTCTTTAGAATAGTGTCCTGGTATCCCTAATTAGATACAATGTATCCAAGATACATCAATAAACATCTTCTCGAAGGCTGAGGGTGTTGATAGCAATAATCGTGTGTACTAATTTGAGTGACTGAACCCCCTTTCACGAAAAGGGGCCACCGGTATGCAGACTTTCACAACTGTCTCCACCGAGTGATAGCCTATTCGAAGGATAGGCCAAACAAGCAATAGTTCAGAAACACGGACCCGAAATCTGACCTGTAAATCCTTCAATTCCTCCAAGCAGCCGTCAGAATGCTACCAATGAACCAACGGACTAGCAATAGAGGTTTGGCCTAAACAAAGATGATTCATTGTATCCGGTCTCAGACGACCAGACCAATACTGGGCCGGATCTGTGACAAGTTTCTCGATTCGATCTGATGATGAAGACCTGCTGCTATCCTGGAGCCTTTGACTCTATCACCTGGCCCTATCCATATTGCTAGTTATTTACGTTGGGCTTCATCGGCGCCCAGCGTGAGCCTCGCCTGACCTACTAACACACCCTCCGGCCCCTCATGGCTCACTCACGAAAGATCTCGCGCCAATTTCGACAGCGCGAATGGCGGCGACGGGCAATTTGGGGGTTGTTGTCTCTCGTCAGCCTAAGAGCAATGGTCGTTGCGCATTCTATGGCTGCGCTGAAGGAGGGCCATAGTGTATCTGCCTAGGTCTGAATATGCTTCACCGTCTATTCTGGCTGACGCTTCGTGGTGGTGTTACTACCGGGTGAAGGGTATGGCCTGATGATTACTGGGGAATGCTCACAGACAACTGTTCACCACTAGGCTCGTGGGGAACCTTAGCTATCATAGTTATTAGTACGGCCTACTATAACCAGGCATCTCACGGACGAGACGGACCTTTGGGCTGGGGGTCTTGGCCGGTCCGATGGCGGCCACGGGCCTGGAATTCCCGTGTTTCATAATTTATCGCATCTCGTAAGGCGTCTGGAAACAAGATGTCGAGCACGTCATAAACGCTAGTCTCATTTCTGCCTCGTTGCTTAGTGTAGGACTTAGGTATGTATTGTACTCGAGGTTATTCCCAACATTTCTCAAATCCTATGCGATATGTCCGTACGTATCATCGATCGAGGCCTCATACTATATTATACTAGACTAGTTATACTTATGCTTTGCACTATACCATTTGCACTTTGCGATTCAATGCGATGTCTGTACTGACGCGGCACAAAGGTACGTAGTCGGTTGACCTGCCTAATTAGGGGTTAATGGGAAACGAATAAAGCAGGGGTATGCGGTCAAACTCCAAGGCAGATCGCGAATCAACGGTGAACTTGGAAGATATCATTTCTTAGTATAATAGCGTATGTGTGTTATGGCAGTATGGCAGTATGGTAATGTGTGATCAAAACTGGCATGGTAAGACTCTGGAAAAATACGATTCCTGCCAATGGAAGACGGCGAAAAGATCATGGATGGTCCTGGATCGCCGTCGTGCTGCTGTTGGCCGAAGTGGCGACGATAAGACTACGGATGCGGCCCCATACCGGAAACTGAACTTACCTCTCTGCTCTGCTGGGAAAATATTCTGCAGTGGCTTCATCCCGGCAGCCGCCCGGGTTATGTGGTTCATTGCCGGACTGGCTCGTTTAATTAATTAAGCTAGAAAGGGCGCGATGAGTTGTACAGTAGCTTTTACCGTGGCGCATGGGGATGGTATGGTGTACAAGAAATACTTGCACGTTCACAACACTGTTTTAAGCTGTTCGGGATAGATGGTTCACATACATACACTACTAACATAGCTCGTACTTGAAATTGATCGGAAACAAGAATTCGATCGTGTCTGAGTACGTGGTACGTTTTGGCGGTAGTTTAATTAGAAAGTTGAGTCAGATCGAGACAGCGAGGCTTTAGTCTAAGACGGGCCTAAGGGCGATCGTCGGAATTAGGAATGGAGTTTTAATGGGACCCGGCTGTCAGGCCATGATATCATGGCTCGTTGTAGGTATTCTTGGTTTATTCTTGGTTTTACTAGTCCGGGCGTATCAAGATGGCGCCGGCAGATGTGGAATTCCAAGGTGCTAGGACGGTATTGAATTTCGACATGTTCGTGCCAACTCTACATTACACCCCTTTTCGTATTGTACATATACGAACCAGACTTTCGGGTTGGAAAGCAAGTATTTAGACAAACATAAATCTAGGAATGAGCGCATTCAATATTGAATACCTCGGTTTACATAGTGCCATTTACATTTGACACATTTGACATTGCGTCTGAGAAGTAATAAATGCGCGTACCTTAAAATGCGTACATTAGGTCAGGTACCCGATAGTATGGGATAAGGACTCACTAACACAAGGTTCGAAATGGATTACCATAATAGGAAAGATACATTGCACAATGTACCACTTATGCACCTCTTATGCAGTAACGCGCATAATTAACCTTTCATGGCTTGCCAAGGTGGTATGAAGTTAAAGGTTTCGCTCTGATTGGCTAGGCGCGCTTTTCAGGCATAACAAAGGGGAAGTCACGGCGACGCGCCTTCGCGTTCCAATCACTTCTCTTCATCTTCTTAATCCTTAAACACTCTAACACTTTGGAGCACGTACGCGCGACCTTCGCGACCAATCATTTTCACTTTGTCTCGCCAATTTTAAACACTCGTACCATCTTCAGCTACCGTTCTACACAGTCGATACTGTTACAAGCTGAGAAAGAATCTGAAGAATTTTTGGGGAATAATCAGTGCGACGCGGCCCTTTCAAGTCCGAGTCCCAAGTCCCAAGTCCCAGCAGTACCTTGGGTACGTACATACCTAAGGTTGTTTGCTTCGCATTCCTGGGGATCGATTAACTCCGCCCTCTTCGGCTTCTGCCATGGTAACAACCATCATCACAATCATCATTATCATCCACCGGTCGTTGATAGGTTATCCTAATTGCAACCTACGTATTGATATTTGATATCTCTTGCGCTACCACAGTAAACACACCCACACCCACACCCAGATAACCTCCAAACAACCCCAACAAACAAGATCTTCACAATTACGAGCATAGCGTTCGCATCTATCCTATTATCTTGTTATCCTGCACAGCCCATCGGCAATCGCAGGTCAAAAAAAAAAAGACCAAAAGGCAGGGTTCTAGCCTGCTACCCTGGTTGGAGACCGTATAACTATCAAAACTGGCCAACCATAGCACGTGCAGAAGCACATCTTGCACATCTTGCACATCTCGCAAAATTCCCCCACTCCGTAGAAACTAGGATTCTTCTTGACATTCCTTGCGAGAATTGGTCTGTCAAGCCAGTCAAGTCTTGTTTAAAACAAACCTTGTTAGCGTCGTGTCAGCCCACGAAGCTATCGTCCAATCCTATCCCGCATTCTACCTCCATCTTCCCATCTTCCCATCCGCACATCCACCGGCGGGTCTACCTAAGTGGATCTTTTGCTGAGCTGGCGTTCTGCTTTCTACCAATCCTGGCACACTTTATGCTACTTCCATTAACCCTATTCGGCCTTCACGCTGCTCCCCCGGCCCTGGTTCAATCTATTCTCTGCGTGCCGACCCTGCAGCCCTTCGTACACTAGCCTTGACACACACCTCTCTCTTCGACTCTTCTGCTAGTTGGTCTTGTCCCAAAGGACCCAAAGGCATTCCTGTGCTTCTATCGCACTTGTAACGCCCGCATACCTAAACCAGCAATACCACTAGTTCAAGGTCGCGGAAACCATTCAGTATCTCGATCCCCCACGAACCGGCTCTCCCCATCTCTTCCATCTCCTTTCCACCCCTTCTTCTTTCTCCATCGCTTCCCTCCATCTATCGGCAACCTTCTCCATTACTGCTATCTACGATATCAATGACAGCACCACGGCGACTATTGTGCATATCGTTATTTGAACTTTACGACAACGGTTCACTTTTGAGACCCTCTATGCTTTAGGCGTCAAGTGCCTGATATCTGGCACGCCACAGGCAACCCTTGCTTCGTGGCTCCACAGCTAATTAAAGTCACCCACCGTGAGTTCTCACTGAGTACTAGATCGTTCCATTTTCACCAATCTCTCAATCGTTACGCAGTCCAAGAAGCGGGAACAAGAGCCTGAATCTGAACTCATAAACGAACTACACCTGAAGTCACACATTAATCGTATCTACTTCCTAACCGACGTCGATAGCAAACATAATAGTATTTTCGAGCGACGAACAACCCGAGAACATTGGCCAATATGGTCAAACCATCTCTTCTGTCGGCCAATTCTGAGCCGCTTCACATATTTCAGGATGACTACTTGGACCAGCCCGCCCCATCTATTAGTCGGGCACCGATGCCCTCGGTTAATAAGCAGCACTCTCCTCGCCGGGCTCTACAGAGCTCAAATGGAAACGTAATATTTAATCCGCCCAATGCGCACGCGAAACAGCATTCACCGTTTAAGCCTACCGGACGCACCGCTACTTCCCCGATGACACCGCTCAGATCGCATGGCAGCAAACTTAATGCGGTATCGATACTTCCGCCGGCGTCGCATGGACAGACAACAGATTCGATGCAGAAGAAACAACCGCTAATGTCGAGATTCAAGACGGTTGTTCAAAAGCCGCTAGTGGATGCAAATGCAAGTTACGGAAAAGAGAATGTTCATCCTACGTTATATCCGGCGCCGTCTACCTTCAATCTAAGCTTGGAGAACTACTATCAGAACGCACCGCCCAGGAAGCGAGCATTACTCGAAGCCGCCCCAATTCAGGACTCGAGACCCGCAAAGAAGACCAAACTGGAAGAATCTCCCTTACCGCCACACGATTCCTTCCCTGCGATTGAGGATACTGGCGCCAAACCATCATATAGCTATGCTCAACTGATCGGGATGGCAATTCTACGCGCTCCCCAAAGGCGACTTACACTTTCACAGATTTACAAGTGGATTTCGGATAACTTCTCCTTCTATAACGCTCAAGATGCGGGGTGGCAAAATAGCATTAGGCATAATCTCTCCCTCAACAAGGCCTTTATCAAACAGGAGCGACCAAAGGATG